CCAGTGCTGCAGATATTGAGGTAGACATGACTGGCCATTGTATACACGTTTGGAATATTCCTGATGTAGAGTACAGTGTATTCTGGTTATAGTGAACGCCGTTTTGTAGTGAAAGCTCACACTAAAGTCATTGAGCGATAATTTATATTAGACTTTACACCCGATATAATGAACAAACAATAGATGGTTTATCTTAGAGGAAGAGAGAGAGAGAGAGAGAGAGAGAGAGGTGTTTATGAAATATATTTTCTCTGAGATAACATATTAAGGAATTCATAATTTATCTCACACTGCTATTAGTTGTATAATTATTTAAGATTTCTAGTTAAAGGAGAGTCTACTGTATGTAATAGTATGTATATTACAGTATGAGTTATATCTTGTTATTTAGTGGTCTCTATGTATTTGCGGCACTCGTAGCCTAAAAGAGATGGAATTTCGCAGTCTGTATACGATATTTACTTTTAAATTACTTATACAACACATTTAGCAGCTCTCTCTCTCTCTTTCTCTCTCTCTCTCTCCCTCTCTCTGGCTCTTATGTTTCGATCCATTCCCTTGAACTTCAAACACACCACTGCTGGTCAACACAACTGCCGGCCCTTTAATATTAAAAACTTGTGCTAAAACGAGAGAAACCATTGCCTTAATCACGACATACACATACAGCCAGCCATCGCCCCAACGCACTGGCAGTCTATTAATACACACATTTATGGTGGTGTAGCCAACACTGTAATGGTGTCGCCCATCATATATACAATATATCTGTTAAACATATTTATAATACACGCGAGGATTAAATACACAGATATTTGTATTGAAAAATGTTTGTCTTTTTCAGGAAGTGTTTGACTACTTATTGAAAATACCCGGATATAAATATACCGATCATATGTGTGTATATATATGTGGGGTACTTCCCTACCCCCTGTAATATATCGCTTACCCCATTGATTAGCGCCCCCTTTATTGCCTTATTCTCAATGCCAGTTATATTAGCGCCTGTTTTGTGTAATGGACTCGCATTTGGTTATACAGTTAGAGAGCACTGGTATATACACGAGCTCTCAGATTAAAGATTATACCGTAAGCTATATTTCCCCCAATATATATATATATTCTGGCATAAACCCTTACCATACATACCGCGCCCTTCCCTTTACAGTGCACACGGCGTGTCATATACTGTATATATACCGATGCTCTTAACTGACAGAAAATCTCAATATATATGCCCTTAAAGTATATCCAAACACACAATATATTCCGTGAGTTTTGGGCGAGAAATTGATTTATTGTCAGTTGAAATAAAATTATTGACCCTTCGCTCCAAGCGTTCAGCCATCAGTCTCTCTCTCTCTCTCTCTCTCTCTCTCTCTGTATGATTGTCTCACTGGAGGGGTCATTGCACTCTCTCTCTCTCTCTCTCTCTCTCTCTCTCTCTCTCTGGCTCAGCCTTAGCCCAAACTATGCAGACATAACTATCTCTCTGTGTTTTACTCTCGTTATTAGTGCAAACTTCTGGCTATTTCTGGGGCTTTTAGTTTGCGATGAACTATTTGAAGGAACAGCGAGAGTCAGTCTATCCCTTACATCCCTGTGCTCTCCCACAGTCTCCATCACTCAGTCTCGCATACAATCCTTTTTGTAATTCACTTGCAAATCCCTGGAATACATGTCTACAGAATACTAGTATACAGTATATGACTGTCGGATTCAATGATATTATCGCGTGAATTGTCATCATTTCTCTTTCCCTCCATACTCTCCAGTGCTCTCAAACTGATCATTTCGTCTACCATTCCCACTAACAATCCATTTATGTGTCTGTCTGTATGTGTATGAGCTCATGGATGGACACAAATCTCATTTCAGTCCCTTTTCATGTGTTGTGTAATTAAAATATTAGTAATGAATACTAGTTTGTGCGCTAATATTAGTCGCATCGACACATGAAATGCAATGTTGACTGATATCCCTTCCCAACCCATACGACGACATCCTCCCTATCCCTGCAGACAATTAACCGAAAATTAATGTTCAATAATTCAAAGCAATCCATAAAAATAAATTGATTTCTGACTTCAAATATAGCGTTAAATTAATAATTTTGATTGAAATGGCATTGAATTCAATACACAATATGTTATATCAAATACGACTGTACTTTTTGCAGCCATAAAGTTTTGCCATTAATTTGTTGGCTCTTAACATATGGATAATGGTTTGGAGTTATTGCTTGAAAAATTAAATTTTCAATTCATTTATGTGGTATGAGATGTACAGTAATTGGAAATAATTTTCCCTGATACTTTCGTGCAATTATTGGACAATAGCTCGATAAAATACTCGGTTTCTGTGCACTTTTAAGTTATTATCCACTAATGAATTAATATATGATTTTATATAATTTTCTGACATATCGTTCCCAGTCTTTGCACTCGAAATATAATTAGGCATACATTTAGGCAATGATTTTATATTTTTCGAAAAATCTGTGCAGTTTTCCACAACTTTATTGTATGATATATGAATGTAATTCAATAGTTAGTTAATTGAGATTTAAAAATATCTGGCATTAACAAATTGTTTAAAATATTACCGTTTTGAATGCGAAATATGTTTTATTGATACTTTGTATATTAGTTATCCTGTATATCATGTATTAAAGTCTCAAAAATCAATTTGATTATTTAGTAAAATTATTAATTTAATTAATTTATTTAAATTTAGAAATCATTTGTCGGCTATTGAGAAAGAATTTAATAAATAATTTTTCAAAATACAATGCATTTGTCATTGAAATGAACGTAAAATTTTGCTCTTTTGTGTCTCTTATTAAACGCAACGTTTGATTGATTGTCGAAATCATTGAAATTTTATAATCAATAAAAAATTCTCGTAACACTTATTATATGGAAATATATTTATTATATTTGAGACCCAATTTGTATGGAAACAGAGTGACTGACTGTATTGTGCTGGTGGTGTCGGTGCCCATTGATAGCCCTATTGCCGGTGGAATAGCCCAGCCGTGCCTTATATGATGCCATGGATTCAATTGGCACTCAATTTAATGATGAAATGCTTTTAAGGAATTCGTCTCTCGGTTTGGGTTTTGCAGCGATTCTTATGTGTATGCCTTCAGCACAGGGCCTGTCGTATGGTGTATGAGATGGTATGCTCTCCTTAAAGCAATTCAGAGTCAGTAGGGAGTCGGGAGGTCTATAGACATCCTGATTAATGGTTAGCCCCTTCTAACTACTAATGCACTTTTGCACACATCAGCCATTGCCAGAGTGTGTGCCATAGCTATGATAGACACCATTGCATGTGAGCCGAGAGAGAGAGAGAGAGAGAGACAGAGAGAGAGAGAGAGAGAGAGAGCACAGGGAGAACTATTGGGTCATTCCCAGTACTAATGATGAACGACTAGCATATATATATATGTCTCTCTCTCTCCCTCCCTTCTAACCTCCCTTTCCTCTGTGCATCACTCGCTGATGCACTTGAATCCTATGATACCGAACCCTAAATCTCATTAGTATTACGTCTGTGAAACAACTCATATATAAGACATGTCTGGCTGTATATAGTTACAAATAGGGCTTAACATTTGATAGTGAACTCCACATTACATTCAATATATTTCAAGTACACCATTCGCACACTTCACGACAATAGCACTGTTCACACAAAGTCATACATACATTAAAATCCTGTTCACCAAAATTGATATAAATTACTGTCAATTGTATTGACGGCTATATTATCCGTGCATTCATTCAGAAACCATTTATTATAATCACAACCAAATATTTGTCGATAAGTTTTAATACATAATATATACCCAAAATTTTTTTATCTACTTTTTAAAAAGCTAACAGTGCTATTATATTCATTGAATAACAAATGCTAATAGATAGCGTACGATGGCATAGAAAAGGGCATATAATAAACGTTATGATAGATATCTATTGTGTTGCGATATTCTGTGGTCATTATCCCACACACTGTCCCCTCCATACCACTCCACCCAACCGTCTATACCCCTACAAAAAACATTATATTCCATGTGCTAGAAGTCACTCACAAATCTGTAGTTTCAATATACGGTACGGCATAATACCAGTGCTCTCTTAATCACTACCACATTATTAATTCCTCTTATATAACACACTGGTATATACCGTACTAGTACTAGTACTGTATAATGGGTATTAAGGACTCTGGTATTAGCACACCATTCCCTGACCCACACCCCGCACTCGTGTAACTCTATTTAAGAGGGCTTTTATCTAAATATACTCTTTTCGGGCGATTAAACCCCCGATTCTGATGCGATGCTCACTAATAAATCATAAGTCAGTTAGAAATACACTATTCATTAGCGAAAGATAGATATAGTGAGTGAGTGAGTGAGTGAGTGAGTGTGTGAGTGTGTGTGTGTGTGTGTGTGTGTGTGTGTGTGAGAGCGAGAGAGAGAGAGAGACTTTAAAATGTATCCGAAACATTATAAAGTAGTGGATATCCGTTACCCAATACGAAAGGAATGTCCATTACATGACACCCCTGAGCACTGCCGCAGTTTTTAGGTCTAAAAATACTCTAATTTTGTGGGACTTCAGACATTTTTAAACCGAGATTTCTATCTTTTAATATATGGAGACATTTATCGCAGTTTTGAATAGTATTTTATTTGAAAAGCATTTTAGATTTAAATCTTATTGGCTATTATTGGTATAGAAAATGAGACATTTTTGTTGTTATAAATTGGAGCAAAAATCTGTTTCGCAGAGTGTCTTGATTATAGTTTTTTAAATTTTCATTTTCCGTATAACTTTTAATTTCCATGAACTCATTAATAAAAAAAATAGTATTAATTATAACTGTATATCGAGTTTATAACTGAATTGTTTATCGACAATCAAATGGTGTATATAAAGCGCATAAGACTTTAAAACTAAAACTGAAAATTTAATTTAATTAATACTGAGATGGAAAGCCTATTAAACGCAAACTGTTATGACTTACAGAACTCGATCCGACACAACCTATCCCTTCACAACCGGTTTATGCGGGTGCAGAACGAGGGGACGGGTAAGTCCAGCTGGTGGATGATCAACCCGGACGCCAAGCCAGGGAAGGCCGCCCGCAGGAGAGCCACGTCTATGGAGACCCAGAAGTACGAGAAGAAGAGGGGAAGAGTCAAGAAGAAGATCGAGGCGCTCAAGAACGGGCTCACTCTGGACCCGACCACTCCCAGCCCGTCGTCCTCCGTGTCCGAGGGGCTCGACATGTTTCCCGAGTCGCCCCTCCATCACGGCTTTCAACTGAGTCCCGAGTTCCGGCCCCGAGCCTCCTCTAACGCCTCCTCCTGCGGACGATTGTCGCCCATCCCTGCCGTCGAGAACGACATGCATGACAGCCAGGTATGTGTCGGAACACCCGTTCCTTATAGACCAGACACTCGATGAGCTATACATTGCTTAGATTTGATATCAGGTATAATATTGGTAAACCATTACTAACCCATACCCCATGTCCTGCCTTCCTTGTCATGCGAGCACAGGTGCCCCCGCTATCACCTCTAGCCGGTTGGAGTCACGGCGACATCGGACGCCTATACGGCACCGGCAGTGAAATTGATCAGTACAGCACCGAACAGTTGGTGGAAATGGCGACGACAATGAAATTGGGCGGAAACACGGCGTTCCTGGGGGTCACCAAAACGTCGCCCACCGGACAGTTGTCTCCGGCCGCCTCGCAAATGCAGCTCAACAACACATACAACACAATCGGCAACTTTGGCTCCCTTTCCGGTTATAGCAGTCCCGGCGGTAACGGCTCGACCGGCGGCCAGCAGCGCACGACCGCCAACGGCCAGTCGTCGGACCCCTACTACCAGACACAGCCCCCGAGCGAGACGGGCGCCACCACTCTGACGGCCCTCAACAACGTGTCCGGGGGTGCGGTGTCGTCGCACTCGCCATCGCAGCTCCTGTTGGCCTCCGATGTGCTCAACGGTGTGTCTAATGGCGCCTACAGTCTGACGAGTCTGTCGCCGGTGTTGTCGTCCACTCAGTCTATGGACACAATGACTTCGATGACGGCCAGCACAGCCCCGGCGCCCACCTATTCGTCGCCACAACACCACAACAGTGTCCACACGACTGCCCATAACAGAGGTCTGTCCACTACCTTAACTTGTGTAGCGCAGCGCCGGTATAGCGTACGCATGACTAACCCGACCCCCTGTCCAACAGCCCTGATGGGACACCTCCTGTCGCTCAACAACCCATTGCCAAACGACTTGGACCTCAACTTCGACTCATTAAACGGGGGACTGGAGTGCGACGTCGACTCAGTCATACGCCACGAGCTCAGCGTCGACGGCAGCCTTGACTTCAACTTCGCCGACCCCTTACACCACTCGCACGGCTCACACGCCGGTGGGGCCGCAGGTATGTCGCAGTCGGCGGTGTCGGCCCACAACACGACGATGACTACCACCCCGTCCAGTCGCTCATGGGTTCACTAGGGGTGGGCCCACACACACGTACGTTCACGACGGCCACCACCACCACCACTACACACACACACCTCCCCTCTCGACCCCTCTCCTCACCACACATACACTCGTTGTTGTTATCAAAGGGACGGGAGGTTTGCAGTGAACTAATTATATACTAAACTAACTGAAACCGATTACACATTAATTGTATGTAAATTTCATTTATATTATTAATATGGTCTTCAAAATTACGTAACGATTTCAATATTGTTAAACAGAGTGGGCGGAGCCTATTGTGGGCGTAATCGAGAATATTTATATAGATATTACTTAGTAAAAGTGCCCTGATTATATCAATAATCCATGCGAACTCCATTGGGGGGACGGATGACAATGGGGGGACTATCGATAAATATTTAATAGCGAAACCAGTGTTTAATAGCTCCCCCCATACGCCACTCCCTCCCCCTCCTCATCATAACGTGCATTAAATATCTTTGTTTTCAATTCAAATACATTTCACACAATATTTTTCGCTTAAAACTATCGGCAAAATAAAAAAGTTTTCAACTTTTGTTTCTATACATAATACACTATTTTAAATAATACCCCCATTTCTAAGGGGTTGTTATAAAGCCTTCCGTGTTTTCAACGTATAACCCTGCTCATTTTGCCACATCACACACACGCATACATACACACAAACACTTCTAAACCATTGACCATTTATTGAGAAATCTATACATTTAGTGAACATTATATTATGTTTTTTTTGTCAGTTATCATTACAACTGTTATAATGCATTGACTTTATTATTATTATTATTATAAATATGAATTACATTACAAACCATCAGTTTTTATAAAATGATTGTCTCGTCATTGGATTTATAGTCAACTCATACACCATACGACAGGCCCTGTGCTGAAGGCATACACATAAGAATCGCTGCAAAACCCAAACCGAGAGACGAATTCCTTAAAAGCATTTCATCATTAAATTGAGTGCCAATTGAATCCATGGCTGAATATAAGGCACGGCTGGGCTATTCCACCGGCAATAGGGCTATCAATGGGCACCGACACCACCAGCACAATACAATCAGTCACTCTGTTTCCATACAAATTGGGTCTCAAATATAATAAATATATTTCCATATAATAAGTGTTACGAGAATTTTTTATTGATTATAAAATTTCTATGATTTCGACAATCAATCAAATGTTGCGTTTAATAAGAGACACAAAAGAGCAAAATTTTACGTTCATTTCAATGACAAATGTATTGTATTTTGAAAAATTATTTATTAAATTCTTTCTCAATAGCCGACAAATGCTTTCTAAATTTAAATTAATAATTTTACTAAATAATCAAATTGATTTTTGAGATTTAATACATGATATACAGGATAACTAATATACAAAGTATCAATAAAACATATTTCGCATTCAAAACGATAATATTTTAAAGAATTTGTTAATGCCAGATATTTTAAAATCTCAATTAACTAACTATTGAATTACATTCATATATCATACAATAAAGTTGTGTAAAAACTGCACAGATTTTTCGGAAAATATAAAATCATTGCCTAAATGTATGTCTAATTATATTTCGAGTGCAAAGACTGGGAACGATATGTCAGAAAATGATATAAAATCATATATTATTTAATTCATTAGTGGATAATAACTTAAAAGTGCACAGAAACCGAGTATTTTATCGAGCTATTGTCCAATAATTGCACGAAAGTATCAGGGAAAATTATTTCCAATTACTGTACATCTCATACCACAT